TAAAAACCCTCAAACATCTAGGCATACTGGAAACGTACCTCAAAAAAGTAAAAGCCATCTATGAGAAACCCACAGCCTGCATACCCCTAAACGGACAAAAATTTTAACCATTTCCCCTGAAAACTGGAAGAAGACAAGGATGACCACTCTCAGTCCTCCTATTCAACATAGCATTGGAAATCCTGGCTCAAGCAATCTGAGAAGGGAGGGCAATCAGGGGTATCCAAATAGGAAAAGAGGAAGTCGAGTTATCTCTCTTTGCAGATGATATGATTGTGTACCTTGAAAACTCAAGAGAATCTGTCAAAAACCTCCTTACACTGATAAAGGCCTTTGGCAAAGTCTCAGGATACAAAATAAATGTGCAAAAGACAATTGCATTTCTTTACACAAATAATTTAAACAAACAGAAACCCAAATAAAAAACACAATTCCATTCACAATAGCCACAAAAACAATGAAATACTTTGGCATCTTCCTAACCATAGAAGTGAAAGACCTTTACAATGAAAACTACAAAACACTGCTCAAAGAAATCAAAGATGGCACAAACAAGTGGAAAAATATCTCATGCTTGTGGACTGGAAGAATCAACATTGTGAAGATGTCCATCTTTCCTAAGGCAATCTACAAATTCAATCCAATACCCATCAAATTACCAGCAACATTCTTCTCTGATCTAGAAACAACAACACGGGAATTCATATGGAATCACAAATGTCCAAGAATAGCCAGAACAATCCTCAGCAAAAAGAAAAAAGCAGATGGTATCACATTACCAGACTTCAAACTTTATAGGTACAATCATCAAATCAGCTTGGTATTGGTGTAGAAATAGGCATATAGATCAATGGAATAAAATTGAGATTACAGAAGCAAAACCTCAATTTCTCATCCAACTCATCTTCAACAAAGACTCCACCACCTACCACTGGGGAGAGGAGAACCTATTCATCAAATGGTGCTGGGAAAACTGGTTGTCCACATGCAGAAGATTGAAACAGGACCCCTTTCTATCACCATGCACAAAGGTTAACTCCAAATGGATCAGAGACCTAAATGTAAAACCTCAAACCATAAGAACCTTAGAAAATGAAGGACATACCCTCATGGAATCAGAACTGGCCTTCAATTCCTGAACAAAAACCACAGGTCATAAGAGAGAAGATAGACAAGTGGGACTTTATTAAACTGACACGCTTCTGCAAAGACAAAGAAACTATCAAGAGAGCAAGGAGACAGCCTACAGACTGGGAAAAAGTATTTGCCAACACCAGGTCAGACAAAGGCTTAACATCTTTGATCTACAAGCAACTCAAACATGCTGAAAAGAAAAAAACAAACAACCCCATTATAAAATGGGCAAAAGATATGTACAGACACTTCACAAAGGAAGACATCTGAGCAGCCAACAGACACATGAAGAAATGTTCAACCTCACTAATCATCAGGGAGATGCAAATCAAAACCACACTGAGATACTACCTAACTCCAGCCAGAATGGTAATTATCAACAACTCAAAAAATAACAGCTGCTGGAGAGGGTGTGTCAAAAAGGGAACACTTCTACACTGTTGGTGGGAGTGTAAACTAGTGCTCCCTCTGTGGAAAGCAGTGTGGTGATTCCTATAGGCTCTAAATATCAATCTTCTATATGACCCTTTAATACTGGGAATATATCATGGAGAACTCAAATCACTCTATAAAAAAGATACCTGCACACATGTATTTATTGCAGAATTGTTCACAATAGCAAGAACCTGGAAGCAATCATGCTACCCATCAAAAGAAGACTGGATTATAAAAATGTGGTACATAAACATGATGGAATACTATGCAGCCATAAAAATAAAACAAAATCATGAATTTTGCAGCAATCTGGATGGAACTAGAGTCTATAATACTGAGTTACCTCTCACAGAAACAAAGTTCCAAGTATCACATGTTCTCACTCATATAATGGACCTTGAACATCTAATGTAATATTATAAAAAAATGACTGACAGTAGTGGGAAACTATGGGGGGGAGGGAGATGGGATTAACGGTAGCAAATATCTGTCTGGGGATGAGGAAACACCTCTTATCAACAGGGTGCCTGAATGAAATATATTTGTATACCTAACCCTTAACTGTACTCCACAACATCATAATAAAAAATATTGACTAAAAAAAAATTAAAATTAAAAAAATAACTTACTTGGTCAGAAATATAAGAAAATAGGCTCATACATACTGGTGATCATGGGAAGGTAAAATAAATCAAAGAGAGATACAGTTTGACTCCCTGTAGATTGGTAAAACTATCTTAAATGTTGGTGAGAGTGTGGAGCATCAGGAACTCTCATATATTTATAGCGAACATGTTTATTGTTCCAGGCCCTTTGGAGTACAATTAGGCGGTAACTAATAAGAGTGAAGGTAGAGGTGTAGACCCTGTGACCCAACAATTCCATGTCTAAGTATAGCCCAAAGATCTTCTAGTATACCTGTACACACACAACAATGATATGAGGATGTTTGCTGCAGTGGTGTTTATAGTAAAGAAACAAAGGGAAATAACCTAGAGGTCCATCATGAAGAAAATGGTTAAATAGGCTATGCATAGTCACACAACAGATTAGTATTCAATAATTAAGATGAAGGAATTAGTTCTACAAGTGTCAATGTGAATAAAACTTGAAAACATAAAGTTGGGTGATAAAAGCAAAATATAGATATTTTTTATAAAATTTGGAACACAGATGAATAGTTTATATTGTTCATATGGCTCGACACCTGGCTGAAATAAAGTTATACAAATGTGACCACATAAGAATACACACCAGCCTCAAATAGTAATTGAGAAAAGAGAGAGGAAGGAAGGAGACCAGGAACATTTCAACCGTATCTATAACATTTTGCTTCCTTAAAATAGTTTTGAAGGAAAAATGGCAAAATTTTAATAGTTATCTGATTTGAGTGGCATGTTGATGGGTGTTTGTTATTGTTCTCTCTATATTTCTGCATGTTTTAGACATTGGGGAAGTGAAATTAAGGATAAAAATAAGGAAAGACAGGTTGGAGACAGGTCAAGGAGGCTCATGAGTGTCAGACTGAGAAGCTGGGTTTTATCTTCTAGACATTAGAGATCTTTTAAGGTTTTTGAATAGGTGATGAAGTCATCAAAGCCAATTTTAAAGATGATTAATTTGACATGATATATTTGCTGGCTTGGAAAAGAGAGCAGCTGGACTGAAGGAGTGAAGTTAGGTATTATCATGCATACACACTTATATACATATTAGTAGTTAAAGATAATGGGACTTGGATCAGGGAGGTTGATATGGAAATGAGAAGGAAGGGAGAAGAGGAAGAATGGATGTGTGGATGGGTGATTAGATAGGCTGATGGATGGATGGATGGATGGATGAGTCAATGAGTAAATTGGATTTTTTTTTAGTTGGAGTCTCACTTTGTTGCCCAGGCTGTAGTGCAGTGGCATGCTCATGGCCACCCCAGCATTGACCTTCTGGGCTCCAGCAATCCTTCTGCCTCAGCCTTCCAAGTAACCAGAACTACTGGTGTGCACTCCCATGACTGGCTATTTTTTTTTAATTGTAGAGACAAAGTCTTTCCAAGTTGCCCAGGCTGGTCTGGAATCCACGGGCTCAGGCAATTCACTTGTCTCAGCCTCCCAAAGTGTTGGTATTATAGGCTGAGCCACCAAACCTGGCCCGCATGAGTGATTTGATAGGTAGATGGATGAATGGATGAATGGATGTATGAGGAGTGGGTTATGAGTAGATGGATAGGTTAATGTGTAGATGGATGGATTAATGAATGGATGGGTGTCTAGATGGTTGGGTGGGTGACTAGATGGGTGGGTGACTAGATGAGTGATGGGTCAATGGGTAGAAAGGTGGTGGTTAGATGGGTGAATTACATGGGTGGAGACATTTTAATGTAAGTGCAATCATCTTCACATTCTATCCACAAACAGTTCAAGTGAAACAGAAATAAAAATGATAAGGAAGTTAAAGTGATGTCTCGGGCCAGGAATTCAGCTGCAAAAAGTGATTAATAATGCTTTAAACCCAGCAAATTTGCCTAAAATCATCCATAGTCACCTTGGAGATCACATTGATAGGGAGAAAACCGTTCAAAATGAACAGGTTTAGGTTTTCATAGATTGGCTTTTTAGGAAGACAACCTTGTCTCTCCTCCTATGATGTGCATGCTGTGCTGGGTCTCACCCTCTCCTCAACTATTAGCTTCTTATCTGTGAATAAGACTCATGGAAAAAAAATAAAAAAGGTAGCCTGACAGCAGGGCCATAGTCAAGAGGGATCACTCCTGGACCCACAGAGGTTCAGTCCAACATTGCACACCATCCTGCCTGCATTCCACAGCATCCCACCTGCCTTGGCCTAGAAGCAAGAGTTGGGACCTGGACTAAGTCACAGTTAAGAGGAGATTCTGCATAATAGCACTGGGCATTGTATTTATGGTGATCTAAAGCAGAGCCTTGTAAATATCGATTTGTTTTCTATACTAAGGCAGAGGAGTATTCATGTTTTCAAATATTTTTAAATGTTTGGAAAGAAAAACCCCTACGGTGCTTAGGGTGCTATCTTTCCCCATTGGATGGTTGAGAATGTGGCATTTACTAGCTCTGTGACTTGGGCACATTAATCACCCTTCCTGAGCCTCTGTGTCCTCATCTTCAAAGTGGGGTCAAAGTACAACTTCCCATAAAGGACTGATCTTGGGCTTACCTGAGAGGGTATCTAATAAAGCAGTTAGCATTGTGCCTGGCACATGCTGAAAGATTGGGAAACAATAGTTATTACTGTTACTATTCTTTTTTTTACATTAATATTTACATTTGTTTCACGTATGCAGTTTACACACACATTATCGAACAAAACTGGAATGCAAACAAATATACAAATACAATAATAAGCATTATCAAATAAAATAAATGGCACTAGTGTTATAAGCACTACTCCATCCCTCAGTGACAGATGGCATACTGTCACTGAGGGATGGAGCCTAAAATTCACTTGAGTTCGTGCTTAGTTGTTCCAACAACTGTGTATCTGTGTCCTTTCTGATCTCATTTATCTTCATGTTACCTTTTTTCCACAATTTACTTTTTGATTTTTTTCCTGCTGTTGCTTCTTTGGACCACATGGTGGCACTAGATTTACCTTCAGGCAAGCCACAGGATGAACCACCAGTGTGACTTCGGGTGGCACTGCCATCATCCACACTACTGCTTCCACTGTTGTGCCTAAATTTGGATGGTTTTGATTCAATATCCACTTGTACCTCCATACTGTTGCCTTCTTTGTCCAAGGGGATGTAGGAGTTGAGAAGGGATCCTGCCATTGCTTTGGTGCTGGCATTATCACTAACTGTTCCCAAGTTGATGGTGCCAGATTCTCCACTTAGACTGTACCGTTCTTTCTGTACATCTGCTTGTACTTCCAACCTGTTAAAACAATTAACCATGGCACTTCCTGACAGACTCCCCATTATACTGGCCCCAGCCAGTGCCATGGTGCTAGCCGTTTCACTCAGGTTGTCTCGAATGGTTCCTATTCGATCCATGTGGCTTCCACTTGCACTCAAACTGCCAGTCAGGCCACCAACACTTCCTTCCCCTATGCTAGGATTGTTTCTTGCTTCTGCTATTGATGTTGTGTCTACAGCTGTGTTAGTTCCACCAACATTTCTATCATTTTCGTCATCAAATTCAATCCTGACTCCTTTTCCATTGCCTGCTGAGACTCCACAACCTCCACTTCGACAGAGAGAAATTGGAAATGCCATAGACATAAGCTAACATAATAGGAACACCAATACCTACAGTCACTGCAGCTACTACTGGAGATACAATTACAGACAACGTTACACCACCTGCTATGGCCAAATTCCATTTGTGCTTTGAAACATCCTTGCCTTCATATCGATTGTGAATCTTGTGGCCCACATACACAGGAATGCCAATAATCATCGCAGGAATAGGAATGCCCGCTATTAAAGCAATTCCTACAGGAGCACCAACCAGTGTTCCCAGCTGTCATAATATTTTCTTCTTTCGGCTCCAAAGTTTCTTTCCCCAAAAAGTACACCCTGATGGACTTAGGTAATGTAAATCTGAGATTTCTTTCATACACAACCAACAAAACTCACAACCACAAACAGCACATGTCATGTGATTGCAGCTCCCATCATTCATCTTTATTATATAAGCAGCGCATCGTGGACATGGATTTATATCATCAGCTGCTGCTCCAGATTTTTGACTATAGCTAATGGATGAAGAACGTATAGTTCTCAAACATAAACTCTGGGCTCTTTCTTGCCGAGTGGCATCACAGGTCTGGTTGGGGTGCCAAATCTGTTTACAGTGGTAGCAAAACTCCGTTCCACGGCCCTCTCACCCTCAAGTTAACTTTGGACAACTGGCGCATCCAAATGCTATCACAGCATATCCACAATCTGGAGCTGGACACCATCTACAATCAGGTTGTGCAGCAAGCCATCGTCTAAGCATAAATTCTTCATATTTTTCCATCAAGACATCATCACTTAATATCAAGCAAATATCATGGGGATTAAACCATTCAGTACATTCTGGGAAACTGATATTGACTCTACTTTCAGAAATTTCTGTCCTTAGATATTGTTGTAAGCAATCCACACAAGATCTATGATGACAAGTCATTATATCAGGAAATCTGTCTTTAGAATACCGCAAAAAGCACAAAGGGCACTCAATAAAGTCTCCAATTTGTTTGCTGATAGAAGTTAATCCATTGTCAAAAGAGGTATTTGTAGAGAAAATGGAGTTCTTGTCAGTACACATTTCAGAATGTATACTTT